ACAAATCATCACCGAATCGATCCAAAGAGTCCGAAGAATACGTTTTCGCCATTTTTTATCACAAAATCATAACTCAATTAATGTCTGACTTTTTTGTGTCATAAAAATCAATACAAAACATAATTAAAATTCATTTGAAAAGTGAAAACAAAACTTTGTTTACATTTTTAAACACTAATCAAAACTTAACAAAACAGTACACAAGAGGGGGCCATATGTGCGTCGAAGCGTAACGTTGTATACGAATAGCGCTCTACACAACACTCAATGCAAACAACAAAAACAAAGCCTTTATTCATATCAAGTGTTTCTCTGAATTAAATGCAATTAAAACCGCAGACAAATGATGTCCGCAAACACTGTTCACAACAACCATAACACTCACAGCACGGGTGGCGGCGCTAACTCACGGACACCGGTGCCGACGGCCATCACATCCGCCGCATCGGTAATCCCGACCGCAATACTCGACGACTTGTCCACACGTTTTGTGATAAACATCCCGCGCGAAGATCGCTCCGACCTGATCCGGGTGTGCTTCCAACTAGAGCTGGCGCACTGGCACTATCTCGATCTGATCCGTGGCCAAGACTCGCGGCTACCATCGGTGAACTTCACGCGCTTCTCGGCCATCATCTTCCGTCACATACCATTCCTGCAGCCATTCATCGCCCGATTGGACGCCATTATCGCCGAATGGAAGACCTATAAGCTATTGGTGCCCACGTGTGGGGCCATTATGTTGGACCCACTGCTAGAGCACGTGCTTCTGGTGCAGGGGTTCGGCGGCCGGTCGTGGGGTTTCCCAAAGGGTAAACTCAACGAAGACGAGCCGTACCACAAGTGTGCCGTACGGGAGGTATACGAAGAGACCAGCTATGACTGCGCCGCCAGTATTGACCACCAGAGCTATATCGAGCGCTTACTGCACGAGAAGACTGTCCGCCTCTATATCGTGAAAGACGTGCCGAAGGACTTCCCGTTCGCCCCGTTGTGTCGCAATGAGATCAAAGACATCAAGTGGTTCTCTGTGGCCGAACTGCCCGTCCGGACGCCACTGCAGATGGACGGCACGAATGGCGTGACTGTCACTCCGGGCGGTGGTGTCGGCACTCCCGGCGCCGTTAAGGCCAACCAGTTTTATAATGTGTTGCCGTTTATTAAGCCGTTGCGCCGTTTCATAGCCAAAGAGCGCCGCCAACTGGTTCTCGATAACCAACGCGACAGACGTGATAGCGAGGCGGCTAAGGATGGCGGCGGACACGAGTCCCTCCAGACGGACCTATTCTGGGCCAAGAGTTGGGACAATATTAAGTTCGATTGGGATAACATCTGGCGAGAGATCTATAGGGAGTCTTCGGGCGCCACCGCCGCAGCCCAGGGATGAGTTGGTGGCCATTAGATCACTGCCTGACATCCGATGATGACTGCAATCCATGGCAATTGTCTCACCCGAAGATCTCATTGTATTTTATATCATATTTGACTCAATAGTTGTGTTATTTTGTAATAACTATTTTTTTGTATTAAGTTTTGAAGTTTTTTTAGTTTTCAAATAATGTAAATCTTTATGTAATTAATAAGTATTTAGAATTTATTTGAATTAATAAAATACAAAATTACTTGAATTCTATGTTTAGTTATTATTTAGTGAATGAATTCATATATTAGTATAAGTGAAAACATGGGATGAGAGAGAGAGAGAGAGAGAGAGAGAGAGAGAGAGAGAAGTTTATTATATGAAAACATTTTCAATTTTGTAATTAAAGAAATTCTCTTCATTTAATGAAATTAATTTTGGGACAATTAGTAATGAGATTATTAATAGAGATTTCACTCAAATTCTGTGCCCAGTCTTTAGTACTGTCGGTGAGAGTAATGCCACGGATTTGTCTCAATCCAGACAACGATATCAACGACGCGTCGCTAATATTCACGTACTTTACGTCCAAATACTGAAGATTCGGTAAATTGTGGTCAATATTAGCGAAGAAGTGGTCCGTAAAATATGGGCTCGTATATTGATTAATAACTGCTAAATACAAATGAGTTAATCGTTTCAAAGGCGCTAATGAATGGCTGGTCAGCGGCTCTCCCGTGAAACGTTTCCATACAATCTTCAGTCTCTTTAGTGCCATAAAGTGTTCAGTAATCGTATGAATCAATTCTGTATTAAACGTATTATATTCTCCGACAGTAATGCTAAGACTCTTCAGACGCCGACAATTGTTACCAATTGTGGTCAATAATAGCATCACTTGTTGTGATGAAACGGGGCATTCAATTGTAAGTTTAAGTTTAACCAATGCCTGCATTCGCGGCCAAATAGCCATCAGTTTAGTGAGCAATTGATCCGCGGATATTGAATAATGATACAGTATAGTCAATACAATTGCCTTGAATTGGTGTCCGTATTGACAGACAAACGCATCCAATGCTATCAAATCGGAAGCCGAAGTGTCCATATATTCGGCGATACTATTGAGTCGTTTGAAAGGCACTCGGCTTTCGGTCACCACTTGTAGTGTTAGTATTGGATCGGAATTGATTCCAATTGTCTTCAAATTGACACACATTTCGATCCACTTTTGAATTGTGTTTTTGGCGACACTTTCATTGAATGAATAGATTTTAATTGATTTCAATTGTGGACCAAATTTAGTGAAAAACTTATCAATTGTTGCGACACTAATATCCGAAAAGTCTATAGAAATATCCATCAAATTAATGCAATATTTAATCATAAGATCAATGGCTGTGTCTTCGAGAGGAAACTCGTACGACAAATGAATGGATGAAATATTTGTACATTTATTAAGAATTGTCTCAAATATACTCCAATTGTATTCATTTCTCTTAAATTTGTGACAAAATGTGGACTCAATTCGTCTCTTGAAGAACACGAGTATTGATTGAAAAGCATTCAAACGTTTCTTTGGGAATAATCTTTGAGCAAAAATGTCATCAATTGTTACCACAGTTTGTCTCTTATAGACGACTCTTCGCCACTGTTTTGAAATGAATTCAAATCTGAATTTGTCTTCGAGTTTCCTCTCGAAGACACAGCCATTGATCTTATGATTAAATATTGCATTAATTTGATGAGTGTCAGTTTTGCTAAACTATTATCCGATTGTATTCTTTGCGACATTTTCTTCAATTTGTCGTTCAATTGGTTATCATTTAATAGCCTTTGGAATGCATTAACAGCTCTTCCTCTTCGCACAAATCATCACCGAATCGATCCAAAGAGTCCGAAGAATACGTTTTCGCCATTTTTACCACAAAATCAATTCATAACTCAATTAATAGTGAATTTCTGGAAATACTTTGTAAATGAATACAACATTGATTTCATTTCGTTTAGTTTGAAATTTGATCACATTTTAAAAACTTATCCAAACTTAACAATAACTCCACAATAAATGTTTTCACATAAAATATAAAATTAATGTAAATATTTATGTAAATTAATAAGTATTTAGAATTTATTTGAATTAATAAAATTGGAAAATTAATTAAACGAAAAGTTTGTGAAACTAAAATATTTACGCATATAATTTAAAATAACATAAAATAATAAACTAAAAGCATATTGAATTACGATTATTGAACTACGAGTGCAATATATTGGGTGCCATTGGGGGACAGACCGGGAAAATTGGTATACTTTTCAATGGGATCTATGGGTGGGGCGGATGTGATGCTAATGAAGTGATTGGTGGCTATTTTGGCCAAATCTAAGCAGCGGTTCATTGGGTCTAAAGGACTCCCAGAGAGTCCACGAGAAGGGCTTTGGTATACGACTCGATGCCTACAAGTGCTCAGAGGAAGAGCTGTTAATGCATTCCAAAGGCTATTAAATGATAACCAATTGAACGACAAATTGAAGAAAATGTCGCAAAGAATACAATCGGATAATAGTTTAGCAAAACTGACACAAATTATCGAGAATTTAGTTTTCAAAAGAGATGAAAATAATAAATAAATCATTTATTCTAACATTATTTCAGTTATTAATTATTTAATTGTTATAAATACTTCATATGTGTGGTCAGCGTCTTGTGGCCAAATACCCGAGAGAGGGCTTACTTAAGTGAAACCCCATTTAACTCGAATCCCTCTGTTTGTCAAACAAACATTTTGATGTACAAAATTTGTACTTCAAATCCATTGACGCATTCGTTTTCAATCAATTATTTAACATATTGTTATGCAATGTTGTATCGGGTGTTACACTATTTATCACCCATATGGTATTCTTTCATTTTTCATATTATACCGTGTGGGTAATTAAAAAGCAAATCTCACATTCAAACTACAGTATAGCACCACAAACTCCACTTTTTTCTCACTAAACATAACTTACTGTATAGTCCTGTTATGGTTAATAGTTATTAACAATAATTGCATTCATACCGTAAATCAATACATACTCTAAATACAGTATGAAGGCCATTGCAAACAAGATTGTATGGCTTATGGCTGCGGTTGCGGTCATAGTTGTAGCTATCGATGGCGACCATTGCGTCGACGCCTCTCCATCGGGCGCTTCCATCGCCGAAACGCATCGCCGCGACCGACGGTCGGCCCGACCCGAGCCGTGGCCGGTGGTCGCCGAAGCCATCGGCCGATATAAACGATGGACGAAAAGTGTGATTTACGCGGAGTGCGATAGTGAGGAACCAGACAATAGTCCATGTCGATTCAACGAGGTGTGTGGTGAAAGCGGTCGGTGTAGAGAGACAATGTGCAACAGGGATGAGGGTGAAGGGTCAACACCATGTCCAGATGATTCAACTTGCAATGGCACGCATTGTCTAGCATATTAAAATTAATACCATCACCTAATTCAGTAACAATACACAAATAAATGTGTACATATTTATGTCTCCCACCGATGGTGTAGTGATAGTTATAATTTTTATTATCGCACTTGTTTCATTAATTCAAAAGCTATTTTTATTTATTGTTATTCGTATTAATTATTACATTTTAATTACCGTATTATCAATTATTTAATTGTTTATCAAATCTAAATCATGTAATTTTATAGTTTAATATAAATAAAATTTTGTTAACTTCAATATTTTGTGTAAATTAATTATTTTTTGTGATTTATCAAATAAATTAATAATTTATTTTTATTATACATTTGTAGTTTAATTGACTTAAATTTTACAGTACATTAGTCTTACTTTAAATACAATTACATTTACGCTACAAATAATTCATCAAGTTTTCAACATTTAATAAGTTATCCCTTTTTGTACGCGAAGTTGATATTAATTTGCGTCAAATGTGAGCAATAAATGTATGAAATATTATTGCATTTCTTCACAACTTCTAAAAAGTGTTAATTTTCGACAATTATTTCCGTTTCACTCTTGAGTCCCACTCTTCGCCACTGTTTTGAAATGCATTCAAATCTGAATTTGTCTTCGAGTGAGAGATAAGACAACAACTCTTCGCACAAATCATCACCGAATCGATCCAAAGAGTCCGAAGAATACGTTTTCGCCATTTTTTCAAACAAAATTCAATTCATAACTCATTTCTTGTAATAAAATAANACAACAACTCTTCGCACAAATCATCACCGAATCGATCCAAAGAGTCCGAAGAATACGTTTTCGCCATTTTTTCAAACAAAATTCAATTCATAACTCATTTCTTGTAATAAAATAAAATGAATGCAAACATACTTTCAATTCATTTTAAACTTCAAACTTTTGTTTGAAACTTTGATCACATTTTCAAATACTAATCCAAAACTTAACAATAATTTCAACACTAAGAATAGCACAAAAAATAGTTTTCGCATATATTATTAAATTAATGTAAATTAATAAGTATTCAGATTTATTTGATTTAATAAATTGGAAAATCAATTAAAAAACACAATTAACGAGATTTTAATCTCAGAGATTATTATATTACTTTGTAGTTTGTTTTGTGCATTAATTAATAATTTGTACAGAATTTAGTACATAATTGTGTGTTTAAATCACATTTAGATTACAATTAAATTAAATATAAGTTACGTATAATTTGAACAAAAATCAATAACAAATATACCATTGAATGGCAAAAATAAAAACACATGTAATAAACAATTAATCAGTAATTTTGTCCATAAATTGTAAGTTTTGTTGAATAATCTGATCCAAGAATTGGCGGGGAATGGCGTGTGAGGCGATTGGCATCGGGTTATCATCACCAGAAGGCTGACCATCAGCAACAGTAGTCGCAGCGGTGGTCACCATATGTTTCAAATAGTGCTGTTCGGAACAGTAGGCCTCATACGGCACCAGAGATTTGTACATTTGGATCAGCTCTTCGGGCGACTTCGGCGGTGACGAGCGTTT